TTCTTTTTACTTATTTACGAACTTGCTATTAATTAATAATTTTATTACTAAGTTTTCAATATCATATTAATTCAAGAAAATATCAGTTTAAAATTTTAATTTCACTATTTTATTATGGATGCTCCTAATCATATAAATTTGAAGAATTGACATTTAAATTATGACAATCTTTGACAAGGATATAAAGTACATTTTAATTGAAGAGAAATAATTTTTTTTATCTATAATAATTTATCAAAACAAGATTGCAACATAAAATGAGAGATAAATTTCCTGAATAAATATGGTTATTTACATTAAAAAATAAATATTAAAAATTTCAGTTTTGATTTAATTAGTGATGACTTCAATAATTTGAAAAAAAAAACAATAATCTATTAGAAATTGTGAAATAGTTTAAAAAAATTATAAAATCATTTAACCTAAACAATCTATAAAAAATGAGTTTCTTATATAATTTATTTGTACAGAAACACTGTAATGTTGTGAATAACTAAAACTTTAAATTCTCTTGTTACGGTCATGTAGATATTCTTAAATCTTTTGTAAAACTATAAATTTGAGTTTTAAAATTATGAATATGAGTTTTACCACCACACTACACTCATACTTGTTATAAATTCAAGAATTGCAATAATATCTTATCATTATATTTTACTTAGTTTTTTTCTAGTAGACGAATATTTTACTTACTTCTGCGTTGTTCGTTCATTATTACTATTGTCGAAAATTCAGTTACATTATCAGTGTGCTTTCTTTTTACTATGCTCCTGATAAAGATGTTTTCTTTAACGAAAAAAAAAATTGTTATAAGAATAATTTGGAGTTCCTGATAAGTTTTATAGCAGTTGGGAATTGTTATCACTAAGAAAGAGATATATAAGAACAAGTGTAGCATTTTCTCCAATATGAAGAAATAGAGGTAAGGAGAAGCAAAACTCAGTTGCGTGAAATAGTGAAGAGAAGGTAATGGCGAAATGCGTGAAAGGTATTTTTTATCTTATATTATGTAAGTGTTTGATAAATCATAAGTGGGAGAAAATTTGAGAAAAAATCTTTTATTAAAAACATGACAATGAGTTGATTTGTGTAAGTGAAATATGTTAAATATAAAAGAAAAATACAAATAACAAAAAATTATAATAGAAAATTATAATAGAAAATTAAAAAAAGACATAAAAAATATCTCTAACGTTGGAAGACATACAAATTTAAAATATATATATACATATGAGTGCAAACCTTCTCTTACACCGGTTTTGTATAATTGAGTTAAATTTAAAATTTATTTCTTAACATGATGTGAGAAGTAAGTTAAAACTTATGAGAGTTAGGTTAAAATTCATTTCTTAACATGATATTATTCTCTATCAGACCATTCATCAATGTCTAGTCTCATCCATGAGATGTATACGTCAGTGTGAAGAAAATGTAATGGAAGTCTCATATCACTATAGATAACGTTAATTTATAATATATATATATATATATATATATATATATATATATATATATATATAAACCTCATCTTATAATCTGATTTTGTAAGATTGAGATAAATTTAAAATCTATTAGTTAACAATAAATATTAAATATTTATATTTTCATAAAATTTGTGTAAACTTGAAAGAAATATCTATCTCTATGTTCAATATTTTTTATTATTTGAATGTTAGAATGGAACATTTATATTGTAGGTTGTATCAATTCTTGACAAAATTTAATTGATCAAGTCAAAATAAAATCGTCATGGACATGTTATAATTGTTAAATAAAAAAAAGTTATTGTGATTATTAATTATAATATTTAACTTAGTAATAATTGTTCGATCCAATCATTCATATCAAAATAATGTCACAAGATTTTATTATTTTATTTTAAGTTTTTGTTCTCAACATATTAGGATTTTATATGTTTTTAAAGGTTTTGACATCCTTGTATCATTCCTATTGATATAATAACATGCAAGTTTTTGTTTTTATCTTTATGAGTTTTTTCTATTTTTTGAAATTAATTAACAACTTTCATCTTATGCTTATTTTGAAATTCAATTTAAAATACAAATTTTACCCTTATAATAAAATAATATTTCTAGAATAATATATATTTTTTGGAGATAAAATATCTATACAAATAACTTAATTACGTTGATTTAAGATGTCTAGTTACTATTTTAAAAATAAAACTCGCTGCGCATACACCGCTAATATAACGCGATTACAAAGAGGGTCACGCGTACACGCTACAACGTTAGCACAACGCGCAGAGCTACACCAAAAAAATTCTCTCTTTAGAATGTAATCTACTTCAGCTGCTACGGTATCATACAACTACTACTTTGTTAAGTGATTTAAGAGCGTTTGGTAGCATCACTATTCTACAAATCATACTTCTCCGTCGATCTTACCCGCACACGCCATCAAACTTTCAATGGTCAACGTTGAAAAGCTCTCACACACCATCTATATAGAATACATTATTATTTCAGTTTAATTGATTTGAAACTTTCCTGGTTGAACCATTCATCTCACCTAGCTACCTTTGACCCGTGTACCACCTTTATGACCCTTCCTTATCTCACACCCTCCTCCAAATATATATATATATAGCAACCACACGAACTTCCTTTCCTCATAGGATATTCTCATTCAAACCAAACCAAAGAAATAAAGAAACAAAGATCATCATCAAAATGGTGTTGTCTTGGACTAGAAGAAATGTTTTCCGTCGTGCCAAGAAGGAGAAGGGACAGATTCAAGGTGGTGGCCGTGGTGGTGAGTTGGAGGTGGAGGTTGTGATCCCCAACCACTTTCGATGTCCGGTGAGTTTGGAGCTGATGACGGACCCGGTGACTTTATCAACCGGCATCACCTACGACAGGGTGAGCATTGAGAAGTGGATCGAGGGAGGGAACAAGACCTGCCCCGTCACCAACCAGGTGCTCACAAACTTTGACAACATCCCCAACCATGCCATTCGTAGGATGATTCAGGATTGGTGCGTTGAAAACAGCTCTTATGGGATTGAGAGGATCCCCACTCCTCGGATTCCTCTCTCCAGCTACGAGGTTTCTCAGACATGTACCAGGATCTTGTCGGCTTGTCGGCGCGGGGATGATAAAAAGTGCCAGGAGTTGGTTGGGAAGATTAAGGATTGGGGGAGAGATGAGAGGAACAGGAAGTGCATAATTGGGAGTCGTGCTAGAACTGATGCTGGCAATGGTGCCGATGCAGTTCTTGGACATGCCTTCGATTGTTTCTCAAGCGGTGACTCTTTTGACACGCATGTGGTTGTTTTGGAGGAGATTTTGGAGGTGCTGACATGGATGATCCCACTTGGGGAAGAGGGTGTGTCTAAATTGAGTTCAAAAGCTTCATTGAATTGCCTGGTTTGGTTTCTCGAGGGGAAAGACCTTGCATCTAGGCAAAGTGCTGCTTTGTTGCTCAGGCAAGCGCATGTTCAAGAATTGGCCAGAGTTGGAAAAGTGGCTGAAGCTTTGGTTAAAATGATTAGGGAGCCTACTGGGAGTGCTTCCACCAAGGCTTGTTTGGCAACAATTTTTAACTTGGTGTCATCAGCTGAGAACAGAGGGGAAATTACTGAAAGATTTGTGGAGTTGGATTTGGTTTCACTTTTGCTAGAGGCTATTGTTGATGGAGATAAAGGGGTGTGCGAGAAGGCACTTGGGATTTTGGATTGCGTTTGTGATATCCAGAAGGGGAAGGAGGTTGTTAAGAACAATGCTCTTACTCTGCCTCTTGTCGTTAAGAAGCTTTTCAGGGTGTCACCATTGGCTTCAAGTTTTGTTGTCTCTATTCTTAAGAAGAATTTTGACAAGAAGGAGGAGGGAGCTCTGATTGAGGCAGTTCAACTAGGGACTTTTCAAAAGCTCTTGGTTTTACTACAGGTTGGTTGTGATGATAGCACAAAGGAGAATGCTACAGAGTTGTTAAAACTGTTGAACAGTTATAGGAACAAAGCGACGTGCACTGACTCATCATCGGATTTCAAGTATCTTAAGAAGTCATTCTGATTAACGAAGAATGGGAATTAGATTCGGTCGTTTTTTTTTAATTTTTACCATAGGTCATGTTATTGAAACATACAATTCTTTGTTGTAAAAAGATACACACACGGACAAAAATTCTATTGATTCTTTCAATTCTTTCTTTGGAAAATTGATTCCATGTAGTTAGTTACAACACAACAATCATTGTTCTGGCAACTACAGAGAAACATCTTTGTGTCTTGTGTTTCATATGATGTATTGAATTTTTTGCCGATTGATTCTGAAGCAAGTTCCATCAAACCAACAAGCACTTGAAAAAAATAATAATCAAATGTACAAAAAGATGCAGTGATGAGAAAAATAACAACATTCAATGACACTGCAGAAGCCAATTCAATCATCTTTATGCTAAAACATGTTACTTGGGGTAAAACTGAAAAGCTCTTCACTCTTCAAATTTGTCATACTTCTTAGAATATTTTGAGGCCAAAAGTAACTTGACTTGGGACATGATTTTTACTACAATGGAGCTGGTGGTGATGATCAAGAGTGGAAGCAATGATGGTGTGGTGACAATCCTAGTCATGATGCATCAGATCTTTTTTCAAAATAAAGGTGACATGCTTACAATCCCACTGTGAAATTAAAATATTCTTATAAAGTTGGCATCTCAAGGTACACTAATTATATGCAGTAATTAATGGCACGATATCTCAAACAATCAACACTTGTTTATAACTACATCTTTAAAAAACATAAAGTACCTTTTTTCTTTCTGTATTTCAATTTTAGATTCTGCTAAACAAGTAACACCTGTTCATAGTATTATGGAAGGTAATGACATTTTTTCAAAAACATGATAAGAAACTATAAATTGATTTATGGGGTAAAGTAATTTACAACTTTTTCGGAAGGTAAACATGCTTCCTTTTCTAAATAGTAATTTTAGTGAATACCAAATCTTCACATAAACAGCCACACCAGAAGGGTATTTATTCTATTTAAAAACCCTTTTTTTCCCATGATTCCTTGGTCACTTATTCTCATACTCAGACACAAAAAGTGAATGGCAACGATAGCTAAACATCAAACCAAGCACGTGACATCTTTCAATGGAAAAATGGGTTTGGCCAGAAGCCATTTTGGTGATTAACATCTCCAAAAGGCATAGTCTCATTCCCACCACCACCATTATTCATCAAGTTCATGAACCAGTTCTGCTTCTGCATGAGATCCATGTTGATATCAAATCCCTGGCCACTGTGACTCCCTTGTCCCTTGTCTTCAATCTTGGCAGCAACATCAGTAATCGCTGGTGCTGCAACTTGGGTTTGACTCTGAGCATTCTTAGTCAACACCTCAATTCTCCTGTTGATGTCCTTCAGATTCTGGTCAATCAACCATGCCAGATCATTCAAATCAACCATGCTTATATTGTGCATAATTTTACCAGCACTGAGGTACTGAAACATGAGCTGAGTCATCTCTTTTTCCCTATTGTCCTTCCTTTGTTTCTTCAATTGGTCTTTGGCCTTCAGGATTCTCTGCCTCAGAAAACTCTCTTGGTTTACCATCTTCTTGCTTTGCTCCAATTCAGGCATTCTCCTGAACTTGGCAAGCACCCTTTGAACCCCCATTGGAGATGGCCAAACTTCAGGTTGAGGATCATAAGGACTATAAACTATAGCACATGCATCAATTCCACAGAGGGTGCTAAGTTCACTGACCTTCTTCATCAGACCCTTCTTCCTCTTCTTGAATGTTGCCTTCCTAGCTGAGTCATTCACTATGAATGCCAACTTCACCTTCTTTCTAGTCATGCTGCTGATGAAAAGATAATTAGAACGATATGAAATTTGGAAACGTTCTTGTTGTGGTTATCTTGTTCAAGCATTCTCTTCTTTATATAGATTTCTTTGTAGTAGTGATAACCAATTTTATTTTGTATTGAGCCACTGTTTTTTCGCAGCATTGACATGAACCATTCAATACCAAATATATGTTTACTAAATAGGAGATGTTAGGTTTAAGTGTCTTTCCATCAATGGAGGATACAGAATATATTTCTTAGTAAGATAATATAACTGAATAATAAGCAATGCAAGTGTGCAATGCAATGGCTAGAATCGAAATGCATTCAGAAGACATATTCTCAGTTAATACTGTAGTAATGTAATTAATAATTGAAAAAAACAAATGATCTTAAATTCAATGTGATATTCCTTTTACAAGGCAATGTAATTTAGATACCACAGTTGTAGTTTATATCTCTGATATCTCTACTATAGAAAAAACCTTTATCCCATTAACTATCATTAATAACTATTATTCTATCCCTTTGACAAAGGGTCAGATCTTCATAAATTATGAGATGTATATGAGAATAATGGAATTATACATAAGGGAAAAGAATTTAATAAGGATCCATCTGTGAATAAAACATCATAAAAAGGTCTTACATTGTTATTATTATAAACTTACTTACAAAGTACGTGAAGAGGGTGAAGAGGTTGATACATATCCTAAAAATACGTTTACCAAATTTAACTAAATGTTGATGCGTAATTAAATAAAGTAACTTATGTGTAAGTAAATATGATCTATTTTTAGCTATAATTTCATATAGTTTTATATATAAAAATATTTATTTAATCTAACAAAAATATTCCCCAGATATATGATTCACACAAAAAAATGATTATAGTTTAATATTAGTATTAATTAGACAAAACGACATTACTAACATATATAATATTAATTTCAGTGTGACAGAACAGGTCAACAATAAAACGCAATGAAATTGTAATATTTTAAATTATAGTTTTTTATTTTGATTTTAATGATAATTTTAAGAAATTAAAAAAAAAAGTTGGTGGATCAATCATCTTATTTGCTTGTGACCTATTGAGCTAGTAAACCAGAAGGGATGGGCTTGATGATCGGGTAAACTGAAAATGTCAACATATCCTATCAAATTATTATCATTATTAGATTATATTAACATGCTGATTTATTTTAAGACTCGTAATTAATTTTATTATTTGTAAAAAAATATAGTAAAAGTACATAAATGAGTTCACAATCCAATCTAGTTCATGATGTGGACCAAGATTTTTTGGACTAGCCAAACTTCAAATCAGATTATATTAGCTAAAATAAACTAATTTTAACTTTTATAATTTAGTGCAACCATTCAAAAGAAGAACAAAAAAGAACAAATAAGAGATCTTCAAGCATAATCAAAATTAATTAAAAAATTTAGAAGTTATCCAATGTAAAAGAAAATAACAAAAAATAAAAATAAACTAGCGTAACTATCTGCATTTTATAAACTAATATCGGTTTGACAGCATGTGGTGCATAATGGTTGAATTTGAGATATCATAAAAGATTTTAAAAAAATGTATAAAAATTTGAAAATGTTCATGTATTGAAATATGAATGATAATGTTATAAAAGAAATATTACAAGCCTCTAAGGAATATAATAAGATTTATATTATTAGTAAGGGTAACTAAATTTGCAATGAGCTTGTAATAAACATTGTGTATCTCTAATAATGTATATTATTTTGTATATTTATTTACTATTGAGTATTATAAAATCAATATTATATGTTTTTAAAACACGGCGATTTGTAATAAGAGGACAGCTCAAAAATAAATATTCCTTTTTTCACAAAATATATAAAATATGTTCTTCAAATTAAATTATTGTATAAATTACAAACTATAAATAATGGGTGTGACCAGTTAGAATAAAAATCACAAAATAAATTTATAATTTTGGATTGGATTTTCCTAAGCACCTAACACAAAGCAGTTGTAGTTTGGAAGCATAAACTTGCTTAATTGCAGTTGTTCTCTCTGAATTTTGAGAATCCAACTAATTTCAAATCAGAGGAAGGACGAAGACTGCATAGAAGAAAATCCACACTCTCTGCACCCGTTAATGCATCAGCTCATGCACAATTCTCACTAGGGTTTATTCATCCATGGCGCTAATAGTTCTCTCTCTCTTCCTCCTCCTCTTCACCTTCCATCTTCCCTTCCGCTCCTCTGGTACCTTGCTGACCTCACTCTTCAATTCGTGGTTTCGTGGTCAAGCATCGTTTCAACTGTCATTTCTCTCTGATCGCGTTTTTGTTTCCGCAGGACAATCGAGTTCCATGGAATCAGTTCCCGATCTTCAGCACACTATGTATGCTTCCATAGAAGGATATCCTTGCGTGCGCCTGTTGAATCTAACTGGAAACATCGGTTGTTCTAGTAAGTTCGCTCTCGCGTTCTCTGTAGTTAGTTTTTCTTTATTATTATTGTTATTAGCTGTGATTTAGGGATTAAGTAAGACTAAAATATAAAGGATGACTATGTTTTCTGAGCCGATGAATTTTCCTTGCTTTATTGTTTTCGAATTGTTAGATCCTGGACGAGATAAGGTTGTGGCTCCTATTGTACGGTTCGGAAATGTTGACAAAATAGCTGAGCCGTCTGCTGTACTGGTGTCAGTGGAGGACTTTCCAACTCTCTTTACTAGGTATCATGATTCAACCTTTCTGTTTCAGGAGGTGCTAAACTTTCTTGCATTTTAGTTTAACTGATAGTTGTGGAATCTTTGTAACCTCGGGAATAAATGCTATCCTTGCTTAGTTATTTTTAAGTGATGCTGGTTGTTATTTCTGTACATTCAGAGTTTTTGAATACCTATTTTCCCTTTCAGAATATCAGATGACTCTAGATTTGCTAGTAAAGTCAGTGGTGTACTTGTGGAACCAAGTACTGATTTGCAGAATAAGATAAACGGTAGAAATCATTGATTTGCTTTTCATTTGTTTTCAAACTAAGGCTGGAGTGATCCTCCTGTGTAGAGCTGTCAGTGATAATTTTTTGTCATGTTTAGGATTTTCTCCAGATCAAAAGTTTCCACAAGGTCAATTTGCGCCTTACCATAATACCGGCTATGAATGGAATCCAATTGTAAGATATGAGCTGCCCTTTTTCATCAGGTTTATTGGCATATTTATAGCTCATGACATCATCAATTAGTTGTCCTTTTTTTATCCTTGCTTGTTACCAATAATCATTTTCCGACTTTGATTTGATCATTTTGTAAAGGTTGTAATCAAATTATGTTTTTATGAAGTTCTTAATTTTGAACGATGAACATTGTTATAACCAAGTATCATAGAGCTATTATTTAGTAAGTAAATAAATAGACCAAACATGTCTTGGATTATATTCTGAAGCGTATAGTGATATTAGATGAATTCAAAAGATCTTGTTGGTGGGAATTTTACCAACTATTTGTGGGATATTGGCTAATCCTAATGCTATTAGAGTTTTGAGACAACACATTCAATTTTTCAGAATGATTAATTTCTTTATGCTTTTATTTTTGGCTCAACTTGTGCAGGGTTCTGGTGTTATGTGGAAATCCTACAATTTTCCTGTGTTTTTACTCACAGAAAGTGGGTCAAAGACTCTTCAAGAGGTATTGCTTGCTACTCTCGTGTTCTTATACTTGCAAAAGTATTGGCGATGATTCAATGTACTTTGAGAGTGTAGTGAGTCAGTTAATTGATCCATATCCAGGTTGTCAAACTCTAGAGTCTGCACAAGCTTGTTTAGATTCCATAGACTCAACTTATGAATCCGTAAAAGATTACAGCTTATTAAATATTCTTGATGACATATATGCATAACTGTAATACTTTTAACACAACAATAATTCAACATTTCAAATCCATAATATATAGCAAAGTGGTAAACGACCTACAGTATGATAATATGTCATGTGTAAGTTAATGAAAACAAAATATCCTAAAGTGGACACATTTAAAAAAGGAGTCAAATTCAAAGCCTTTGAAAATAAAATAATCATTGTGGAGGCAAGAATTATATTTGATTTCAAACTTGGTGACTTGCTTTTTTATTTGAGAGTTCATGCAAGTTTATCCAAAAAAAGGATTGATGACTTAACTTGTTTTCTGTACCTAGGATCATAAACTTGTAAGAGTGTTAATGTGAGAGTTTGATCACGTTAATCCATACAGTGAACTGCACCTAGGAAATAACTTGGTTTCTTTATTTTTATGTTACTTGATATATATATATATATATATATATATATATATATATATATATATTTAGTGAGAGAGTAACCTACACAAATCTTCAAAAAAAATTTGTGATATTGTTAATTCCATTGGCATTCATTTTCTTGTGACCTAATGAATTTTATTATTCTGTATATAAAAATAAAGCAGATTGATTCTCTTTACTGTTTCTACAGTTTGTAACAAAGAATGAGGACAAAAAGAAGGCTTATACTTCTAATGTGGCTGAGTTTGATCTGGTGATGCAGGTATTATTCAGATTCTTGTAAAAAATTGTTTTATCTGCCTTATGAAGAAAAATGTTTCATTATTTACCTTTTTTGTTATCTTCAATTAGACAGTGAAATCTGGGACACTTGATTCAGAGTCTTGTTTAAAAGAAGAAACTTGTCTTCCTTTAGGTGGATACAGGTGAAGTTTCTTGACTTTACTTTATAAATGATACTAAACTAGATACGTGGTCGTCATGCTTGTCAAGACACTAAATTTTCATATTTTTCCCGGAAAGTCTCTCTTCTAGTCTCAAAAACAATCCTTTTATCTGTATAGAATATTGCCATATATAGAATATGGCCAGCTCTGAGTTTTATATTGATGTAAGGAGGGTTTGTTTATGTACTGCACTGGATAAAGAATGAGTGAATTGCCTATGTGAATATGGTGTTCATTATTAGATTGGACGGATTCATACTATCTTCAAAAAAAAAAAAAGATTTAGCATCACATGGTTCCCTAGGTGGAAATGTGCTGTCCTAGATCTATTTTGTAGAA